AAGCACAATGTATGTAAGTAATCTATATTTATACAACGCCTTTCATTAGTCTCTGACTCCACACAGAGAGGGGAGCGTGGCCAGAACAGGAGACGCATGTCAGAACTATTGTACATGTTTTTAGTGGTAGGGGAAACCGGAGTACCCGGAGGAAACTTCCACTCAGAAAGGCCCTGTTCCAACCGGGATTAGACCCCAGGACCTTCTTGCTGAGAAGCAAGAGTGCTAACCACTGTTGAAATGTTGAAAGCAGTAACAGAAACACATCAACTATATTGCACAAACCGGAGTATTGCACATGCACTGACGGTCCTGATATTCACCGATACTAAAAAAAGATAAGATTTGCTTTATTGATCTCACACGGGAGACATTTACAATTAACTAAACTCATTTTGATTTATAAAATCGAACTTTTTACAAACATGGACAAACAAAACTGTTACATTGTGTATCTTAACCTGACATAACCACATTATCCATCCATCCTCTTCCCCTTAATCCATTTCTTGGTCAGGGGTGGCAGTCAGAGCACTAGGCCTTTACATAAATACGGACATAAGTCTGTGCAATATTCTTACAGTCAGTGATGGTTTTCATCTGTGTCTCCATCCCAACACTCCCGCAGTAGAAGGATTTTCTCGCAGAAAAACAAACAGTTGGATTCCTTTTCTCCGTCACTTTCAAACCCAGACTCTAGCCTGAGAAACTTCTGAAGTCTTTTGTTGAATTTGACTGCACTGAAGGTCCTTGACTCAAAACCCAAACACAACTTTCCTCTTCGCATCAACAAATCCCCAAAGCCACGTTCCTTAATTGCCCGGAAGAATCCCCAGCTCGAATCAATCGCTCGCGGGCCGATGCTCCTTCTAACCCGGCGGACGCAAATTGGAAAACAAAGTAAGTGCGATGAAATCCGGATGTCGAGAGAGGACATTTTGTGAGTGGCAGAATCGAGAACAGCGAGGAACAGCCAATGCTTGAGAATCATTAGGAATCAGCGGGAGACAAAGCTCTGGCAGGTGTTTATGCAAATGACGAGCAAACGAATTCATCTCCCTAATGGGCGAGCAGCAGCAGCGGAGGATATTGTGCAGGTAAACGGCGATGAGTGTGCGTTTGTGTGTGTGTGTGTTTGTGTGCCGAGGCTGTGTGCACTGCCTTGGCCCAGTGGGGATGGTTATTATAAGAGATCGGTCTGTTCCCACCTCCACGCAAACATATGGGACTTCTACGTGTTTGTCTGGGCGCAGTGGGATGACAAGGGTAGTTGAGTCGGGTAAGTAGACGGGGAGAGGTCTCAAGGGCAAATGGTGTGGATACCAGATGGCTGAAATAATGGTTATTGAGTGTAAATTGAAAAACATATTGCTATAGCAACAGTATTAACCTTTCTCGGAGGTGTAAAGAAGAATAAAAAATGCGGACTGTGGAAATGATAGAAAGTGGACAAAAAACAGAGTTGATTATGGAAGAGGCTATATTAAACTCAAACTCGACTAGCGGGAGAAACCCACTAGTCCAGGGCTAAGGGGTGCAGTTCACGAGTCCAGGAGTAGGGGGTGCAGCTCACGAGTCCAGGACTAAGTGGTGCAGCCCACGGGTCCAGGACTAGGGGGTGCAGTCCACGGGTCCAGGACTAGGGGATGCAGCCCACGGTTCCAGGACTAGGGAGAGCAGCCCACAGGTCCAGGACTAAGTGGTGCAGTCAACGAGTCCAGGACTAGAGGGTGCAGTCCACGGGTTCAGGACAAGAGGGTGCAGTCCACAGGTTCAGGACTAGAGGGTGCAGTCCACGGGTTCAGGACTAGGGCTCCCTTCGTCAAACCATGAGACAGATCTTGGACTGTGTGTATGGCGTTGTATGATTCTATTATATCAATGTTCTACTTCCGTTCAAACAATAAATAAAAACTTTTGTGGTGGTGCAGCCCACGAGTCCAGGACTAGGGGGTGCAGTCCGTGGGTCCAGGGCTAGGGGGTGCAGTCCACGGGTCCAGGGCTAGGGAGAGCAGCCCACGGGTCCAGGACTAATTGGTGCAGCCCACGGGTCCAGGACTAGGGGGTGCAGTCAACGAGTCCAGGACTAGAGGGTGCAGTCCACGGGTTCAGGACTAGGGGGTGCAGCTCACGAGTCCAGGACTAGGAAGTGCAGCTTATGGGTCCAGGACTAGGGGGTGCAGTCCACTGGTTCAGGACTCGGGCTCCCTTCGTCAAACCATGAGACAGATCTTGGACTGTGTGTATGGCTTTGTATGATTCTATTATATCAATGTTCTACTTCCGTTCAAACAATAAATACAAACTTTTCAAGGCCAATGCTATGGAAATAAAAGATTATAAATAAGAAAATGAACAATAATCCTGTGTAATCCTGTCAGGCCTGGAGTGAGTGTTTGTCCAAGGATACTGAGTTCTCGAGGGTCGGTTTGTGTACGTGTAGAGTCCTGTACGACCCGCCTTTTGTTGTGTCTATCCTTGTTATTGTAAGGCCCACGTTCAGGAGAGAAAGAAGCAGAAATTTAATTATCTTGTTAAGAGTTTGTCAAGCTTCAGCCTTGCAACATTTTTCTCGCTATTGACTAATAACCAAAGAAATACATTATTAAATTTTAAAAGTTATGTTAAGTTTAGCAGCACAGGATGGGGAATTGTAGCAGTAGCTTGGTTTTAATTATGAAGAATGTAAAAAATCCACAAATGATTGCATAATGTGTGCTCTATAGCAGTGTTCCCCAACCTTTTTGAGACGTGGCACACCTTTATTATTGAAAACATAGCACACCACCCGCTGAAACAGAAACAAAAATCTAAATCTAAATCCTTTATTAACACTGCAAATGTATTCTCATGAAAGAGTATTATTCATAAAATCAAACTAGATAAAACAAGTCTTTTCTTTTCACGTTATTTTGACCAATCATGTGATCATTTCTCAAGATGCATGCCATGGCACACTGGGAGAGAAACCAGGGGAGTACATATCTTTTGGACCAGTCTAGTTTAGCCGCTGTGGACTTTTGAATGCACTCGAAATGCGTTTAACATTTTCTTGTCCCGCGGCCATTTTGAAAAAGTCCATAGAAGACAAACGTGATGGCACATTAGTTTGAACGGCAAATAAAGGCGTGACTAGGTCCTTTAACATTTACAGTCTGTGGTTGTTATGTTGTTCTAAAGCAGGAGTGTCCAAACTAACGCTCACGAGCCCATTGTGGCCCTCTCTGTAGTTTTAAATGGCCCTCTGCCTCGTTAACACCAAGTAACCAATCACAGTCAGCCAGGGATAGTGTCACCTCTGCCAACAGAAATCTTGTACCTTGTATCCAGTTTTTGACCTGAATTGACACTTGGTTTCAATAGTATGTCACCAATGTAGCCGGTGAGTAAACACTTTAAAAACTTTACAGTTCAGCCAAAGTGCTGTACACAAAAAAAAACACAATGACTAAAAAATACATATATAAAACAATATTACCTAAAATCAAACATTATCAAAAGCACATGAAAAAAGATGAGTTTTAAGAAGTGACTTAAAAACAGGCAGAGACTGAGCCTGTCTTATCTCAATGGGACTGATTCCAAAGACGTGGACCTGTGACAGAAAAAGCTCGGTCACCACAAAGCTTGCGCTGTGTCTTAGGGACCACCAGCATCAGCTGATCTGCCTCAGGGCACGAGAGGGAACATAGGGCAGAATAAGATCACAGAGGTAGGAGGGGGCCAGGCTGTTTAAACATTTAAAAGTAAATAAAATATTTTTAAAATGAATTCTAAAACCAACTGGAAGCCAGTGCAGAGATTTTAAAACCGGTGTCACATGCTCCCATCTACGAGTTCCAGTGAAAAGTCGAGCTGCAGAATTCTGGACGAGCTGCAGCCGAGAAAGTACCTGTTGGCTCAGCCCACAGTAAAGTGCATTGCAATAATCCAAACGTGTTGTCACAAAAGCATGCTCAACAGTCTCAAAGTGCTGCTTTGTTAAAATAGACTTTATTTTTGCAAGTTTCCTTAGCTGACTAAGCAAAGGCATACCTCATTCTAAAGCCCAGAACAGCCTCCATCCAGTCAATCCTAAAGTGTCCCTATTACTGGTTCTACTGTATTGTTTTGACTTTACAGTATTCCTTGCACAGCCGCTAATATTATGCATGGAGTCCTCCCTTTGAAAAGCTCAGTGCCGTGGGGCTCCGCAAACTTTGAGAAGGCTCCGGTTGTTGCTCATACAGTCAATTAACAGGCGAGGTGATAAATATTCAAAGTTCCTGCTGCAGAGAACAGAATGGTGCACATCAGATTATTACGGCGTGTTTACTTTGATGGCAAGCTGTCATTGCACTGTTTGTTTCTTTATCCGCGCCCATTCAACATCTGCTATCGAGAAACCGCAGCAGCAGCACCAAAAAGTTAAGAAATGATGGAGACGCAACTGTTGGCGCCTTGATAAGTGCCAGTTTTGGATGATTGGGCAGTCTAAATGATTTATGAAAAGCGTAATTACGTTGTCTCGGAGATGCTATATTTGTCAAGTCACCAGATGTTTCCCCTCGTCCAAAATAACTCTTCATCATCTTCTACTTTTGGCTTGTTTACGAGGCTCTTTTGGGGCGCTATGTAAATCAGGAGTCCTTGATATTCCACCACAGTCGCCCTAGTTTAGAATCAGACGAGAAACAGCAGCGTGTTTCATCGTGTCTAATGAATGTTTTTTGTTTTTTTATGAGTGTGGGTTTTCTGCAGCGACCTTGAGGATAGAAAAAAAAACTTGTACAATCTCCTGGCTGCGGTGATTGATACTCAGAAAGACGTGGGGAGGGGAGGGGAACGTGGCCTTGTGCGGAACAAAAGTTTGTGTTGAAATTGCATTTGTTAAAGAGGATAAATATAGTCTTGCTCGGAGTGTACTGTGATTTGGTTTGTATTAGAAATGTCCTTCAGTCGATCAGAGTGACAGTGCTGATTTTGGCACTTACAGCTACATCGGAATTTGACGTTGCAAAATGAGAAGTAAATACTTAAAGAAAACATATCTGGAGGAATCTACTTATTTTTGGCGTTTTTAACCATGTAAAGCCTGGTTCACACAAAACAATTTTAAAATTGTCGCAGATTTTACAAACCTGAGAGACCCCACACACAGAGATAGAAAAGGGTCTAACCACTGAGACACAAAATTACACAAACCACACACACAAACATATATCCCACACAAACCCATTTCTCCCCCGAGCGTTCCCAGGTCAGACAGGAAATCTTGCAAAATCTCCGGAGATGAATCGTGAAACCATCGGTAAACCATCATGGCGGACGAAGAGGATGCAGTTAGTTTGCTGTTTGTTTATAACGGAGAAAAAGCTATGGTCAAAGATGTGGAGATAACGGGAGCACGGACTGTCCTCCATCTCCAACGTCGACCGGACTTTTTGACGCTGACTGTTTGGATTATTTCTTCCGGTGTTTTCTCGCTGCCTCATCTCCTTGTCTTCTGATTGGCTACAGCCACAGTCACTACAACAAACTATCCCCGAAAGAGAGGCCAAAACAACATGTCGAATATCCCTGATTTGAGATCGGAGCCAGTCCTTCTGACGAGCGCAGTCTTAACACACCACACATGGAAAATACATCACATTATTTTACCAAAATCGTTTTATCAAATTTGAGCAAATCAACTGGTAGCATTAGGAATCACTGACTGTTAGCCTTATATACCCTTGTACTGTAAGTAACAGGTAGTGACAGATGCAGAGGAAGAGAATAGGCATAGTAAGAATCAACAAACATATTTTACATATACTCTCATATTTTTATTATTATTTTAATGGTCAACAAAAACGCACTTTTGAACAAACAAGAATTATTTTAGCATTTTTGAGCCATCGTCTGGTGCTCCTCTGATCACTGCTTTTACCGACTGCTTTTTCTTCTCAGATTCTGTGAAATGCAGATCCCCTGGAGGTTTACTTTCCTGAAAAAAGTGTGTTATGTGTCGGAACCCTGGTGGTGGATTGCGGGATATCAAGGAGGGGCACACTGGGGCAATTTCAGTCCAGCAGGCTGGAGCCAATCATGGAGCAGCACAACAGAGGCTGGAGCCAATCATGGAGCAGCACAACAGAGGAAATCAGGTGTCAGGCTAGAAAAGGTGCAAGTGTGTGGTTCATTAGGCTGCAAGAAATCATGGAGGAGCACACTGAAGCGCACGCTTACAAACCACTGGTAAGTGCTGACTACAAGTTATGACTTCAAATTGTTATATAGAATTATTACAAATTATTTGTTGTTTGTGCAGCTTAGTCAAGAGTCCCTAATTGATGAAGTCGACTCAGATTCTGACGATTTAACTGTCAAGAAGAAACCTGTAAAAAAGTATGGAAAAAGAAAAATCAAAAACACTTTTCTTCAAGACTCGGAAAGTGACGAACCAAAGGCAAATAAGATGGCAAGGCAAGGCAAGGCAAGTTTATTTGTATAGCACAATTCATACACAAGGCAACTCAAAGTGCTGAACAGAACAAGAAAGCATTACAATCATAAATAATCACAGTACATTAAAAAAATATATATATATATATATATATATAAAAATATAAAATCCCTCAGTTGTATGCACAGCTAAACAGAACCGTCTTTAATCTGGTTTTAAACATTGTCAGAGAGGAGGCCTGTCTCACATCTTCAGGAAGACTGTTCCAGATTTTAGCAGCATGAATCTGAAAAGCAGCCTCCCCATGTTTAGTTCTGACTCTGGGCACTAACAGGAGTCCAGTCCCTGTGCTCCTCAGAGTCCGGGCTGGTTCATATGGGACTAACATGTCACTAATATAGTTTGGTGCGAGGCCATGGAGAGATTTGTACACAAGCAGAGCTGTTTTAAAGTCTATTCTCTGAGCCACAGGAAGCCAGTGCAGAGACCTGAGGACTGGACTAATGTGGTCGTACTTCCTGGTTCTTGTCAGGACTCGAGCTGCTGCATTTTGAATGTACTGCAGCTGTTTTAACAGCCTGTTTGGACAGACCTGTGAGCAGGCCATTGCAGTAGTCTAACCTACTGGAGACAAATGCATGGATAAGAATCTCCAAGTCTGCTTTAGACACTATGTTTTTGATCCTGGCAATGTTTTTTAGATGGTAAAAAGCTGCTGATGTTACTGATTTGATGTGGCTATTAAAATTTAAGTCTGAGTCCAGTATTACCCCTAGATTTCTGACCTTGTTTGAAGGTTTTAGGGAGAGAGACTGTAGGTGACAGATGACGCGCTCTCTTTGTTTCTGGGGACCAAAGACAGACACTTTTGTCTGCGTTTAGCTGAAGGAAGTTGTTTTGCATCCACTCACTGATCTGTTGGATACAGTGAAGGAGTGAGTCCACTGGTCCATGTTCTCCTGCAGTCAGTGAGACATAGATCTGAGTGTCGTCTGCATAGTTATGATAGGACACTTTGTTTCTGCGTATTAACTGACCTAACGGCAGCATGTAAAGATTGAACAGAAGAGGTCCCAGGATCGACCCCTGTGGTACTCCACAGGTCAGGGCCATATGATCTGAGACACAGTCTCCAATCTCCACAAAGTACTTCCTGTCTTCAAGGTAAGACCTAAACCAACTTAGGGCGGTGCCAGCGACTCCAACCCAGTCCTCTAGTCTCTGTAAGAGGATCTCATGGTCGACGGTGTCAAAGGCAGCACTCAGATCTAACAAGATTAAGATTGAGACTTTGCCTGCGTCAGTGTTCAGCCGGATATCGTTTGTAACCTTGACAAGAGCAGTCTCAGTGCTGTGGTGGGGTCTAAAGCCGGACTGAAACTTATCAAATGAGTTGTTAATTATAAGAAATCTAGTAAGCTGTAGGTAGACAACTTTTTCAAGGACTTTCCCCATAAATGGCAGATTTGAGATGGGACGATAGTTGTTAAGTACCGTAGCATCCAGACTGCTCTTTTTTAGCAGGGGCCTGATGACTGCAGTTTTCAGGGCCTTTGGGAATATTCCAGAATGAAGGGACATGTTTACTATCTGTGTGAGTGAAGGTAACAGACTGCCCAGAACAGACTTCAGAAATCTAGTGGGTAGTACATCCAGGCTGCATGTGGAGGAGTCCTCAACCAGACTCAGAAAGCACATGGCTACAATCAGCATCAGAATCCTTTTTATTGCCATGTGAGTAACAGGAAGTCACAAACTAGGAAATTGCTTTGGCTCAGGCTATGTATACATGTTCTTAAAATGAAAGAGAATGATATGGACATACTAGCAAACTTCCTCGGCCATGACATTCGTATCTAGAGACAACATTACAGACTATCAGAGGGGGCGCTGGAGCTGGCCAAAACAGGTGGATGGTCCAGGAGGCCTGGGTGGTGAAGGGTTACAGCCAGGCTGCGTGGTCCTAACCCTGGGAGTGTATATTTCTATCACATTTTTGTTTCTCTACCCAGAACGTTAGAGAAAGCCATGGTCTGCATCTGAGGTGAAGGCTGTGGAGAAGACCATGACACCTTTCATACAGAATGGAAAAGTCCCTGGGAAGTCTCACTGCCTGGCCTGGCCTGGCCTGGCCTGGCCTGCATTAATGCCTCACCAGAGGACCTTAGTCATCTGACATGGAGTGGCTTTAAATTCTATATAAAAATAGAATCATTGCTTTTTGAAAAAATGAATATTATTTATTTTTAAACGTTTCTAATTGTTTAAACAATTGTCCAAATGTTTTGAAATGTTTTGTATTAAAATAGTCCCAGTAAAAAATATCAATGCAGAGTAATTCTAAAGTTACCCCAGTGTTGGCAAAAATACAGCAAGGAGTCAAAACCATGTGTGTGGGTCCCATATGGTCCCTATAACGGCCTGTCATAGGGACCCACCAGGTAACAAAAACCATGTCTGTGTCTGTGACTCAGGCAGCTCCCTCTGCCCGCGGCGGCTCATTGGGCCGGGGCGCTGGACGTGGTTGGAGAAGCTGCCGCAGGAGGAGCAGGACTTGGAGCTGCGTTTGCCCAGAGGCAGCACCTTTCCTCCGGGGAACATGCCCGCCCACCGGACTCGCAATCTGTCACGATACCCCCCACTGGCCGGGGACGGAAGTGCAATGGCTGCATATAAGAAAATACTTGTTTGTTCTGCAGGCCATATATTAGGAGAGGACAAACTGTGTTGATGTCACCCGTACACTGCAAAAAATGCTTGGATGAAGTGGTTTAATCTTTAATAGAGTACATACTGACTCTTTTAAAACAAGATTTCCCAACGAGACAAAGCCGTTTAGTCTTTTTTCATGAACTGTTGCTTTATTTTCTCAGTCTTGTATCTTTATAAAACATGTTTATCTGTTCCAAATGCAAATCTTTTGTTAAGGCAGTCAAAATGTGCTCAGATTAAAATACATTTTGACAAATTTGAGAAAAGTTTGACTTACTTTTTACAGTGTAGAGTTAGCCGTAAAGCAGGAGGCGAGGCATGGCAAGTTTATTTGTATAGCACAATTCATATACAAGGCAACCCAAAGAACAACAGGCCATTGCAGAAGTCTAACCTACTGGAGACAAATGTTTTCAGATGCTAAAAAGCTAATGAAGTCACTGATTTGATGTGGCTATTGAAATTTAAGTCTGAGGCCGATTTGATAATAAGCTAGCTGGGGCCAATTTTGCCATAGCCCTTCCAACATCTCTGGCCACTTCAGCCACTTCCTGAGAGGCTGGCCTTCCCTCCCCCTCCCTTTATGTTGCAGGATGTGAAAGGGTGTGCTGGAGGAACTCCACAGCTGAGTTCACTATCATCAGCAGAACAGATTCAAAGGCCCAGTCCCAATACCCACACTGCACCCTACGCCCTCCTATGAAGTGTGAATTTGTTTGAAGTGCGCGCAAGGGTTTGAGTGTGCAGGTTGCAAGCGTGCACAAAAGGCGGAATTGGGACAGTGCACGCTACGTCACCGACCTGCGCCGTTGTGTCACATCTGCAACATCCAAAATGGAAGTACCCACCGCTATTTTCACAATATTGCTGCTGAAAAGTCTGCTAAAACTGCAGCAAACAATCGTTCTGAGGCGAAAGAAGCGTAGGAAACAACAGAGACGCATACGCCAGGCCCTCGCTGCAGCGCCAGAGTTAGTCCGAATGGTAATTCCAATGCTATGGGAACTGACTTTATGGATCTCCTTCATAACTCCCTATGGCCAAGCCAGGGAAACCAAAAGATATGTTCATAAACATGTTTATAAATGTGTTTATACATGTGTCTTTAAGCATGTTCATAAATATGTTTATAAATGTGTTCATGAATAATTACATAAATAAGTCCATAAATGTGTTTATGAACCATCTCATAAATCATCCACAGACAGACGACAGACTCCACCGACACATCTTTGTCAAATGTGTAAGTAGTTATAAGCTGAGAATCCCTTCCCATTGTTCCATATTGGCATTGTGGTTAGTGAATTGTCCTCAATAGCCAAAACAACAATGTGCACAACCCGGCAGACTCTTGACCTCCGCACACATGTGAGCAGTGTAGATAACAGAACTACTCTATTGATATTACTAGAATTCGTCATCTACTGTTTACATGCGTTTCAGGCAAGAGGACAGTTCACGTACACCAGACTGAACTCCACCGTGCCAGTTCTCCAGGTGTATTTGGATCCGGATGTGGACCTATGACCTGACTACCGTCTGACAAGGGGTTCTATGAACGGCTTGATGGCACTATTAAAGAGGGAGCAGGATCACGTTTGGGGCTATCCACTGGAGATACTGATATTCATCTATTGGCTTGCACATGGCATCTCATACAGAGTTGCAGCAAGAGCTTTTGCCGTGCCCAAGTCAACAGTCTGGCGGGTTGTGCACAGAATCGCCCTAGCCATAATGGGAAGGGCACACAAGGTAATCCGTTATCCCAACCAGGAAGACTCGGAGGACATTGGGAAGGGATTTGGACGTCTAGCTGGCCACAAAGATTTTTACAAAGCTGTAGGTGCAGTGGATGGCTGTCACATTCAAATTAAGCCACCTCATCAGACCAGAGAGGACTACTTTTGTTATAAGCAGTTCTACTCCATCCACATGCAAGCCATCTGTGACTCCAGCGGACGATTCCTCAACATATTTGTTGGTTTTCCTGGCTCCGTTCACGACACGCGTGTACTCAAAAACAGCCCCTTCTATGTGAACGCTGAATACCCACCACCTGGATATTTCATTCTAGGTGATGGCGGATATCCCTACATTCAGTAGCCCATAGCCATGATCACCCCGTACAAACTGCCACTTCGGAGCAGAGTTGAGCACAGGTACAACAACTGCCATGCACGGGCTCGTACAGTGATGAACGAGCCTTTGGTATGATGAAGGCTCGCTGGCGCACAACTCAGTTTACAGAAGCTATACCCGATTTTTTTTCTAAGTAGTTCATAAAAATGCTTTTTACTACATACAAGTTGTATCATAATACATCATTTAATTGAAAACTTGAGGTAATTGATTCAGCTGTGTAAGAATTTCAAGCAGTGAAAAGTGCTGAGTAGAGTCTGAGCGGGCCGCTCGTTCTCCTCCGCTCACAGAACGAGCAGTGAACAGCCTGCGTCCTCTAGTCTCTACAGCGCTGCTTAACACCAGGGCTTCAAAATTCGAATATAATTCTAAAATAAAAAATGATGAACAAAATAATTGAATAAAAAAATGTGAACAAATATTAGACCACCCTTGTAATTTGAAATGTATTTAATGACTGCAAATAAAATAGTTAGCTCCCAAAGGTTTCACTGGGACGTGCTAGGCAGGTAACAGCTAAGCTAGCTAGTTTTTTCATGGTAACTTCCGGGTTTTTCGCAATCGCTTTTTGTCACATTGAAACAGTATTTTTGTCATGAAAACGTTAACAGCAAATTCTGAAATTGTCCGTGCATGTGTGTTAAGGATGTATATGTATACTGTATTGTCCGATTGACGTTTAATGGTGTTGATTGATAGATATGTAGTTGTTTATTGAGCGTGGCTAGCTCCGCTAGCTCCGTTGGCTTCTCTACACAGACGAATGTGTAGTGACAGGCGCCGATAACTTGTTGTACTTGCAGAGTAATGGCAGTATTTTACACACCTGAATTACAAACAGAGGTTGCATTGGGGCTGCGGTCATTATTGGTTTGAGAGTTCTGTTATCAAGAAAAAATGATCGGAAGAATTGCTGCTGCTGCTTTGAGGAGCTCTATAACAAATTATAATTAAATATTAGAATATATTCTAAGGTTTTAAATTAATACATTCGGACGCGAAACTAGCGGTATTCTTTTACTTATATATTGTGTTAGCAGTGCGTTGCTTTAGTGCCATTTCATCAGTGATTGTTGCACAGCTTACAAGAAGTTGCGCTAATGCTAATGTTAGCATATGTATCAGATCGCAAATAAAACTAGGTGGCTCTGTGTTATGAGAGCGTAGGAGAAATGAGAAGCCATTGAGCGAGTTGGGGGCGGTGCTAAACATTCAAACATTGCAGAAACGGGTATAGCGCCTTTAAGGCAATGGAGGTCGAGGTAGCATTTTGCACCCAAGTAGTAACTGCCTGTGCCTTCTTGCATAATGTCTGCCTGACCCACGGTGATGTCTTGGAACCAGATGAGGACGACGGTCCACCGCCGCCACCGCCCCCAGGAGAAGGACAAGAAGCAAGTGGCAACACACAGATAGGCTCTCAGCTCAAGTTTCCGCTCCACTGACATTACCAGCACATCTGTCTGAACATGATTATAGTTAGTAAAAGAGTGTTGGAAAGTACAATTCATAGGTACTTATTTAATTAACTACATTATACAATACATACTTTCATTTCAGTAAGAATAGCAAGACCTTCTTCCAACACTGTATGTAGTTTGATTTTTGCATATTATTTGACAAGTGTCAGACATTGTTTTTTTGTCTTGTTACAGGAATATCTAATAAAAGACATTTCTCATTTTCCTCAGAAAGTTTTTATTTTGTGTGTGATCATGGCTTGACCCTTAATTTAACAGAAACTGGTACTATCTGTAGCAAATACAATAAAATATGAGAAAACGTCAACACACCTCGATGTGGCAAAACCAAACACATTATGTAGCTGCCTACTTCTTCACGAACACAGTAAGTGCAAAACAAAGCAAATAACAAACATAAATAGCAGCATACTTTGAGTAATGAAAATAATACGGACCAATTGCACTTGTGACCCTAATGTCACTTTGTAAGGTGGTCAACGAATCTGCCGACCAGGTCGAGCATTTTGTCCATTTGCTGCTGGGAGTGGTTCAGCCAGGCTGCGTCTCGGGCATCATCTTCCTCATGCCTCTTCTCCAGGTTTGTGCACCATTCTTTCACCGCCTCTGCTGCACTCCCATCACTCCTGCGTTTCCTCCCTGGCATCTGCAGAGGCATTTCTGGGGAACTTTCTGCTGTGGAACCCTCTGAGCTGTGTGGACCCCCAGCTGATGCAGATGCTGTGGCCTCTCCATCTGTGCTCTTGCTGAGGTCCAACACAGCACAGCTCGGACCTGATGAGTAGAGGCTGAGTGGTCTGACCGATGGCCTTTGGCCAATTGCCTCATTCATATGCTCGTAGAATGTCCAGTTGCCCGGATGGACTTCGCCCTGGTCCGTCCCTGACCCAGTTTTGGGAAGGGACAAGTCCTTGATGATAATACATGCAAATAAAAGTTACATTTGAACATACATACATACTACTAGAGCACAATGCAAATGCACTTTACTCTGTCGAGCGGATTACCTTGTATTTCTTCTTTAGGTTCTCCCATTTTTTTTTTTTACATTGTTGAGGCGTTACCCTCCCCTCCAAGTCCATTCGTTTTATTATTTCACTGCAAGAATACATCAATAAATATTGGCGTTTAATATATACTACATGCTTGATTTACAGCTGTACACTTATTCCTGGCATTCCTGAGGCCAGTGAAGTGGTGGTCATTTTCAGACCTCAACTTAATAAAGTCTACGGTCATTTTGTCTGACCCTGTGGGAAACAAAAGTACTAGTTAAAGGGTTGATCCACACACAATAAAATACATGTATGTTGGTTATTTGTAATTTGAGAAAGCCGTTTGATTCTGAGTTACATGTGGGTAAAGAACTTATCGGGTGAACAATTATACATCCTAACTCCATTTTACTAATTGTAAGGTGTGAATTGAATGTTATATGCATGCTTAAATTCAGGCACAATGTGAAATTGTTGCCATTGAATGTCCATTAATACACATCACCATGATTATTCTACAGACATTTATGCTTCTTTCCAATTACACATTGTAGACATTATTTACACACATACAGAATATATTGTCCAGGTGTGTACCGCAATGAATTATGGGCTATACCCTTCACCTGAGTCCGCTTAAATGCAAGCTACGGCGAAGTGTGGATCAGGTGCGCAAAGGGGGCGGGGCCAAGGACCTCCCTGGAGAATTGGGACACCCTACGCACTTGCACCCATCATCGTGAACGCGCAAATGAGGGGCGCAAGGGTGCAAGTGCGGGTATTGGGACGGGGCCAAAAGCCACTGCAGTGAGCTCAGCTGTGCCAGATCGTAAAACTCTGCCAGTCAGTGCTATATTACATTCAAACCAGTTTTTGGCCTTATTTTCTAGTTCTCCGGCCACCTGCTTCTCCGTCTCCGTCCTGCCCTGGTTTTGCTCCGTCCCGCCCTGGTTTTGCTCCGTCCTGCTCCTAGCTCCACACCAGATTAAATAAAATTTCATCAGAACTATTTCAGAGTCTGCTCTTGGGTTCTTTTGCCTTGACTCGTTACAGTACGATCTGACCATAGAACATGGACCCAGCAGACACTGAGATGCAGTGTCTGCTGCGTTTGCGTTGCAGAGCTGGCTATAGAGTTCTGCTAGCCGCGGAGAGCGGATGGAACGAAGAGGCTCTTCAGGATGCATTCATTGATGCCATATCTGAAGGATGAGATGGCCTGTCGTGATGAGACCAATAACCTGAACGACCTTTTTGAACAAGCTATCCGGATGGATAACCGGTCAAGAGAGCGTCCTCGTGAAAGGGCGAGAAGGACTGCCACCACTACTAAAGCCCTTCCTTTACCTTTCCCTGTAACACAATTCTGCTCCTCCTGCTCTACCACACCAGTCTGAACCTGAACCAACGCAGCTAGGGCGTGCCCATCTGAATCCGGAAGAAAGACAACGCCGCTTCAACACACGGAGCTGCCTCTACTGTGGTCAGTTTGGACATTATGTATCCTCCTGTCCTGTCCTGCCAGCAAAAGGCCTGGCTCAGCAGTAGTGGGAGACATACTGTTGAGCCACACTAACTACTCATCTCCCTCTAAAGCTAACCTTGAAGCTACGCTAATTTTATCGGACCGCAACTTTTCTCTACCTGTTCTTATCGACTCAGGAGATGCAGCGTTTCTTGGGGTTTGCTAACTTCTACCGGAGGTTTATACGCAACTACGGTTGTTTAGCTGCCCCTCTAACTGCTCTTACCTCTTTCACTGTCCCCTTTGCTTGGACCCCTGCGGCTAAATCTGCTTTAACCGATTTGAAGCACAGGTTCACGACTGCCCCAGTTTTGACCCAACCCAATCCAGACCTCAATTTGTTGTAGAGGTCGACGCTTCAGACACTGGGGTAGGTGATGGGAAGCTGTATCCTTGTGCATATTTCTCTCGTAAGCTTACATCTGCTGAGAGGAACTATGATGTTGGCAATCGTGAGCTCTTGGCTATTAAACTTGCTCTGGAGGAGTGGCGCCACTGGTCGGAGGGTTCAAATTTTCCCTTTATAATATGTTCAGATGATAAGGACCTATCCTATATCCAGACAGCTAAGCGACTAAACTCGAGGCAAGCTAGATGGGCCCTATTTTTTGATCGGTTTAACTTTACTTTGACCTATCGCCCTGGTTCTAAAAACCTTAAGCCAGATGCCTCGTGTGTTTTCCACTTCCAGCCCTGTAACAGCCCTGTAACAGAAAGCGATCCCATTTTACCTGCCTCTCGTTTCGTTGACACTATTTCCTGGGAAATTGAGTCACGTGTCAGAGTAGCCCAGCAAGCCCATTCAGATCCTGGCAATGGTCCAACTGGTTCCTTGTTTTTTTTAGTAAGTAAGTAAGTAAGTAATCTTTATTTATATACCGCCTTTCACAGACCAGAGTCACAAAGCGGTTTACAATTGTTATTTTTGGGCATTTGTCTCTCACTCCACAGAGATGGGAGCGGGGTCGCCAAACAGGAGGCGCATGCCAGACCTATTGTACATATTTTTAGTGGTAGGGGAAACCGGAGTACCCGGAGGAAACCTACGCAGACTTAGATTCAGTCAGATCTGATGTTGCCCCTTTAACTTGCCATCCGGGGGTCGCTCGCACTCTTGCAGTCCTTTGTGGCAGATTCTGGTGGCCATCCATCGTGAAGGACACCAAGGAGTTTGTGTCAGCGTGTACAGTATGCTCGCAAAACAAGACCTCTAATAAACCCCCTCACATCTCTCTGGACCGGGCTACCTCCGTCCAATGGCAATACTGTGGTTCTTACGATTGTTGACAGGTCCTCTAAATCTGCAGACTTTATTCCCCTCACTAAGCTGCCTTCCTCCAGAGAGACGGCCGACTTATTGGTGAATCATGTCTTTATCTGCATGGAATCCCGTTGGATATAGTTTCTGACAGAGGTCCACAATATACCTCTCAAGTATGGCGTGCCTTTTGTTCTGCCCTTAACATCAATGTCAGCCTCTCTTCTGGATATCACCCCCAAACTAACGGCCAAACTGAGCGAGCGAACCAGCATATGGAGGTGGCGTTGCGCTGGGTTTCATCCGGAAGTCTGTCCAGTTGGAGTTCACATCTGCCCTGGGTGGAGTATGCTTTTAATACCCAGTTGAACTCCTCTTTGGGCATGTCACCCTTTGAATGTTGTAACAGCTACCAACCACCTCCATTTGACCAGCAGCGATAACTTGCCGTTTCCTCAGTCCAGGATCACCTGAGGCGGTGTAACCAGACCTGGAAACGAGCTCGATCCACGCTTGAGTCTGTCTCTAGGCGGTCCCAGAGCCAGGCTAACCGCAGGCGGATGCCCGCTCCGCCATACGTCCCTGGCAGAAGGCTCTCCATTCGGGATCTGCCTCTCAAGGTGGACTCTAAGAAGCTCTCTCCCAGATTTATAGGACCATTTGAGGTAGAGACAGTGATTAACCCGTCGACGGTGCGTCTTCCCTCCCCCTCCCTTTCTGTTGCAGGATGTGAACAGGTGTGCTGGAGGAACTCCACAGCTGAGTTCACTCTCATCATCAACAGGACGGATTCAAAAGCCACTGCAGTGCGCTCAGCTGTGCCAGATCGTAAAACTCTGCCAGTCAGTGTTACCTTTCAAGCGCTATTATTGACTACCTGGAATTATTACATTCAAACCAGTTTTTTGCCTTATTTTCTAGTTCCCCGGCCAGTTCTTGATGGGCTTTTCTTCCATGGCGTAACAGGGGCAGACATGTTGCTCTCTTCTACTAAAAAGACAGACTCTGTGTCCCACACTCTGCTTCCTGGTTGGTTGGGCTATTGTCAGGTGCTGCTCTTTGAATGGCCAGGTATTGAATTTTGCTTTATATAAATAGATATGGAGATCTGTAGAACATTAAAAGTAATATGTCACCAGTGTTGTGTCAGTTCACAGCTTTTCTGAACTAGTTCAAGTTCAGTTCA